AATGTGCTAGCGGTCGGACGGTGAAGCACTCGACTCTGACTGCGACACGGGCTGCTTGCTACCTGCTCACATCAAACGCACCCCCTCCCCCCCCCCCCCCCCCCCCCCACCCACCCACCCACCCACACTCTCTCTACCATGCCGTCCAGGCGTAGAGTCGAAGTTGCCCAGCAGGTGCTGGCACGGCTGACCTCGTTGCAGCAACCGGCGACCGGGGCGCTGATCGGCGTGGTCATGTCGGGCCGGTGCCGGGTGGCAGCGGCGGTGGCGGCCGAGCTGGACGCGGGCGACTTGGCTGAACTCGAGAGCGTGCTGGTCGGCGGTCTGGCGGTGGTCGGCGTGTACATGGTGCACAAGAGTGCGCAGATTGCCGATGCGGCAAGCCGGCTGGCCAGAGTGGCGGCCGAAGGCGACCGCGACTCGGCGCTGGTCCTCACTCTCGCTCTGGACGGGTCCAGCCGGGGGCGGCCCAAGGCGACGGACGCGTCTGCGCCGCAGTCGCGGATCGAAGTGGTGGCAAGGTCGGGCAAGGCAAGCGAAGAGTTTGTCGGTATCTGGGCCGAACTCCCGGTGGTGGCGGATCTCGGTGCGCGCGACATCGCGCGCGAAGCCGCTCGTGCTGCTGCCGAGGCAGTGGGGCGGGTGGCATGCCTGAGGATTGGCGACGCTGTCGCCTTTGCGCCGTGGATGGCCGGGCGGCGAGTGAGTGTGCGTGAGCTGATGGACGGGTCGAGTGAAGGCACGGCAGGCGCGATCGGCGCCAAGGCCAACGTCCTGTGTCAGCCTGGAGTCCGATCGAGCGTTGTGAATGGCGCAGCGAGCGGTCGTGGACTCACCGCAGCTCGGCTGGCGGTCGCCGGCTGGATTGCCGCCGACGAACGCGACAGCTTTGCGGCGGTGACAGCGGCGTGGGCGGTCGATGCCACCCGGGCGATTGCGGCCATAGCGCGGAGCTGGGCCGAAGACGGTGCCGGCACCGGGCTTGCGCCGTCGCGGATATTTATTCGGACTCCAAGCAGCGGCCTCCTTCTCAGTATTCCGCGCATGGCTGCCGAGCCGGCCGAGCAAGCGCTTGCGGTGCTGAGCGATGTGGTCGGTGACGAGGCGAGCTTAGTGGGTGCGAGACGGGTCGAGCTTCCTGCGCCAGGCAGAGCGAGTGTTGCAAGAGCAACCAGGCCAAGTGCACAAAGGGGGCCAGCGAGCAGGGTACTACTGGGTCTTCTTGCTGTGGGAGTCGCTCTCCTCGCCATGGCCCTCCGGTGGCTGGGCGTGCTGTGACCGGTGTGGCGGTTGGGCGGCCGGATTGGTTTGGCGCCAAAAAAAGGCGCGCGCGGCCGATGTTCCTCCGCACCCACAGCGGCAGAGGGGCGGGTTAAAGGCGGTGCGAAGGACAGGGCAGAGGCGCGCAAGGTTGCTACGCGCCAAGGGGGGAGCTTGACGAGGCAGCAGGCAAGGTGTGGAAAAAACGTTGCGGGGCATGGGTGGAGCAAGTTCGGCGGAAAACGGCAGTGGCGGCGAGGCGGACGGCCAGCTACGGTGACGGGCGTGGGTCGTGGTAGCTCTCTTTGGCGGCTCGTGTGGCGAGAGTAGGCGGAAGCAGACGCGTTGTGTCGAGGTAGGAGGCTGTATGACGACGCCTTTGACGCTAGCTGAGGCACTGGGCTCTGTGGGGGCCGAGGTGGAGGCGCTTGCGGCGTCGCTCTTTCACAAAGCGCACGAGGGCTTTGCGGCTGACGAGGCGCCCGAGGACCGGCAGCTGGCGGCGGCTGCACTGTACCTTGCAGTCCATGCACAGGACATTGAGGCGGCGTGCGGGACCGAGGGTGGGCTCTCTGCGGGCCTGCCACAGAGCAGGAGCAAGGCCGGCGGGGTGAGCCGGAGCGGGAACAAGGCCGGCGGCAGAATTGGCGCCACGGGCGGGAGCTCGCCAAGCCTCTCGCTGACCAAGCTGCTGCGCGAGGCCGAGACGTCGCTGCTGGACTTTTTCGGTGCGGCCAAGTCTGTGATCCATGTGCTCTCGCTCGACGGGGCTTTTGATGCGCATCTCAAGATGGTGGAGCGCGGGTTTGTGGTGGCGACGATCTTGTTCCAAAAGTACGATAAGGTATGGGCGTGGGCTGTGCGGAGCGAGGGCGGCGGCGAGCCGCTGATGTACTCGCTCGGTTGGCATTTGTTTGTGCTTGCGCGCGACGCGCTGCTCGGCTCACCTCCGGACCTGGTCAACTCGTACTACCTGCTGCTCTCGGTGGTGGCCGTGGCGACGTCGCTCCTGCCGGGCGCCTCGCTGTCGGACGCGTTTGCGGCAGCGCGAAGCGGCGAGAGCGTCGAGGCGCACCTCCGCGTTCTTGCTGGCGAGAACAGGATTGAGCCGGACCACCTGGTTGAGGTTTACACGTCGGCAATGGCGGAGAAACTGGACGAGCTGCTGGGACGGTGGATGTCGAGCGCGGCGCGCGGCAAGACAAAAATCAGTGCCGGCAGCGTAGCCAAGCACTTGCACACGCTGCTGGGCAAGGCCTCGGCCGAGTACTCGACGCACCACGAGGCTTTGGGCGGGCTCGACGAGCGGACGTTCCTCTCCGAGTCGGGGCCGGGCGGCGGGCCGCTCAGCGGGGTTTCTAAGCTCTCGACGTCCTCGCGCAAGTTTTACGCAGTTACGCCGCCGCGGACGCCGAGCACGGCGCGGGCGGGGCGGGTGCTGGCTGCAGCGACAGCGTCGCCGTCGCTGGTCAACTCTGCGCTGCGGTATCCCGAGTCACCGTCGCGCGGGGGACGGAGCGGTGGGAGCGGTGTGCCTGCGACGCCGATGTCGTCTGCGCACTCGCTGGTGCGGTGGCTGCGGTCGATGTTTGACGTGCCGCGGAACGGGAGCGTGCCTGTCCCGGACGTAGTGGCTCGGTTTGTAGAGGCAGCGTCGGCTGAGAACGTGACGGTGGACGGCGTGTCAGGCCGGGCGGCTGGCCTGGTGGCCAAGGTTGATCTTGGCGGCGAGCTCGGAGCGAGCAATGAGCGCGCTGCGCTCGGGCTTGCGCTCTACTACGAGGTGCTTCACGTTTTGCTCGAGTCCGAGGAGGCACGGCTGGGAATGACCGACTTTTCGGCGCTCCTCGCGTCGGACGCGTTCCACACTGCGCTTGTCGGGGTCTCGCTCGAGGTGGTTATTTTCTCGTACAAGGTCTCTCAAGCCGAGTTCCCTGCGGTGCTGGGCGCGCTGCCTGTGGACGCGTTCCACTTTGTCAAGATCCTGGACTCGTTCATCACGGCGGCGACGGCGCGGCTGCGGCTGCCAGAGCCGCTGCGGCAGCACCTCCGCGAGGTGGAGGAGTCTGTGCTTGACTCACACGCGTGGCAGTCTGTGGTGCTGGAGCGATTGCTGAGCGCCGAGTCACCATACGTGCCCGCCGTCGACGAGTTTGTGCAGACGACCAAGGATGCGCTGCTTTCGTCGCTGGCGCGCAAGCCTGTGCTGCGGCCGGCAGACCTTTATGCCGAGTCGCCGCGCAAGCCGCGAACGGGCGGGCTAGGCAGCGGGCGGCGGCCGACGCGGACGTCGCTTTTCCAGGAGCCCCGAAGCGGTGACGATGACGAAGAAGCGGCTCACGATGAAGGCGGAGCGAGCTCCGAGGGCAAGGCGAGCGGGAGCTCCCGGTCCGGCACCGCGGTCTCGCTGGAGGTCTTTATGCGGAAGGTCCTCGGGCTGCTGTTCAAGCGGCTGACCGATCTGTGCGCGAGACTGGGCGTGCCGCGACTGGTGATGGTGCAGTCGTGGGAGGCCGTGGCACACGTGCTTGTGGCGGCGCGCGCACTGCTGTGGCGGCGGCACCTGGACGTGCTTGTCATCTGCACACTCTACGGCGTGGCGCGGGCAAACTCGATCACCGACTACACATTCAAGAAGATCATCGAGCAGTACCGGGCGCAACCGCAAGCGTCGTCCAAGGTCTACAAGTCTGTGCTGCTCGAGGCGAGCAGCGGAGCAAGCGGCGACATCATTGCCTTCTACAACCAGGTCTACATCCCGGCCATGAAGCCGTACCTGCTCAAGCTGCAGACGGCGGCAGAGAGTCGGGCGACTGAGGGCGACTTGCTGGACGACAAGCTCGACGCAGTCCGTGTGGGGCAGCAGAACCTGTTCCTCTCGCCGCTGAGGTCGCGCTCGCCGGCGCGGCGGTCCGGCCCCGCAGCAGGCGCGCGGTACGACTTTGGCCTCTCGCCGGCCAAGCGGCTGCACGAGATCAACCGCGCGCTCCGCAACAAGCGGGCCCGGTCCGGCGACACCGGCTCGGCGCCAGGCTCGGCAGGCGGCTCGACGGCAAGCGCCGGATCGGGATCGGAAGAGGAGGCTGGGGTGGAGGAGCGTGGCGGAGACGTGGGTCCCGTGCGGAAGCGGCGCAAGAAGTTGTAAATGAGCACAGTAGTGGGCGTGAGCGGCGGAAGGACGAGGTGGGCACACCCGACTCGCTTTTTACCAATGACGACGTCCACGGTGGTGCTTGCCGTCGTGGCGCTTGCCAGCGTCATGGTTGCTACGCAAGCAGCGACATGTCCGGCGACGCTCCAAGACGGAGATGAGCTGTACCATGTGAACGCACTTGCTTCGCTTGGCCCGTTTACCACCCAGTGGAACGATGGCTCTTCCACCTACACCTACAAGGTTGACCCATGTGACACCATTGCAAGCTGCGGCGGTACGCGACCTGGCCATCTTTACATGAGGGGAGGGGGAAGGGGGGTGGGGGTGGGGGTGGGGAGGAGGGAGGGAAGGGGGTGGCAGAGCAAGGAGAAGGATGGGGAGAGGGTGGGTGTGTGGGGGTGGTGGGGGTGGTGGGGGTGGTGGGGGGGGAGGGGGTGGTGGGGGGGAGGGGGGGGAGGGGGGGGGCGGTAGTCGCCCATGGAAGCACGCGGTCTCTGCGAGTGGCAGTCTGCCCGGGCGCATGCGCCCGCAGCCACCCAGACACAGCCACCCAGACACAGCCACCCAGACACAGCCACTCGGCGCACAACTACCCACAGCGGTAGCCACCCCAGTCCGCATGACTCACTCAAGCACTCGGCGGCTGCATATGCGACAGGTGACACCAACCAGGCGGGCTGCCAGGTCAACACAGATGCTGCAAAGTCGAAGGGTATGGGCAAGTCGGCGACGGCGGTGTATGGGTTCGATGTGCCTGGTGGCCTCGGATGGAATGCGATTTACACCGACGGCACGCCGTGCCACGATGGGACGCCGCGGTCGTTCCGCCTCACGGTTCTGTGTGACAAGTCGGTGACTGGGACGCCTGTGCTCGAGTTTGACGGCGAGACGTCGCACTGCCACTACGAGATGGTGCTGCGGTCGGGAGGCGAGGGCGCGTGTCCAGCCGACTCGCCATCGCCGTCGCCGCTCCCGGCCGACTGCACCACATTTTCGCCCGAGGGCCACCCGGACGTGGTGTACGAGCCGCACCTGCTGAACCTGCCGGGTGAGGAGGCGTACCATGCCACGTCGGAGATCGGGCACTACATGTTTGACCTCGATGTGTGCGGGCCGGTGACGTGCGCCGGTGGCGACGAGTTGAAGCCGGTCGGCGTGTGCCAGTATGATATTGACGCTTCGCGGGCATTCTCGCTGGGCACCGTCGAGTCGGCTTCGTTTGAGGCCTTTGACGATGCTACTGCAGGCTACCGCATCACGTACAGCAACGGCGAGCAGTGCCACGACGGGACGTCTCGCAAGACGATTCTCGCGGTCTATTGCTCGCCATCGACGGTCGAGCCGGTACTCACGTTTGTGGCCGAGACCGCCCACTGCGAGTACCTGTTCTCACTCAAGGCCAACATCGGGGCGTGCCCGTCGCAGGCGCCGCCGCCGCCGCCGCCGCCGCCGCCGACCGCCACCTGCCCGTCCAAGATTGTGGACTCGGACGCGCACGGCGAGTTCTGGTACTCCCCGTCCAAGCTGGCGTCTATTCCGCCGTTCACAACGACGGCGACCGACCCCAACTCGGACCTCACGTACACCTACACGCTCTCGGTCTGCCATCCGCTCTCGCACATGTGCGGCGACGGCGACGACTACACGGCAGTCTGCCAGGCACACGACGACATCCAGTTTGCGCTCGGCTCGTCGAGGCTTGTCTACGCCCAGCCCATGCAGCCTGCGCGGTCGGGCTACATGCTGCAGTACGGCGGTGGGAGCAAGTGCCACGACAACACGGCACGCTCGACCCGAGTCTACGTCATGTGCGACCCAACGGCAACGACGCCCGAGCTTGTCTTTGGTGGCGAGACCTCGCACTGCCAGTACGAGTTCACCCTCACCGCCGCCGAGGCCTGCCCCGACGGCCCGCCGTCGCCGCCAGCCGCTACTTGCAGCGACGCCCACCTCCCGTCGCAACTTGCCGGCGGCCTGGTGTACAACTTCCACTCGCTGCTGACGTCGTCGGCCGAGGTGACGGCTTACCTCGGCGCCTCGCAGTATGACTTTGAGGTCAACGTCTGCGGCGCAGTTGACTGCCCCAAGCGCCACGACCTGTCTGTTGATGCTGGGGCGTGCCAGTCATGGGACTCGCACGGCCACATGCGCGGCCTCGGTGACGTCGCCTCGGCCCGGATTGTCGAGCTTCCGGGCAACGATGGATACACGGTGACGTACACCGGTGGCGACTCGTGTGCCGACGGCACCCAGCGGGCCACTATCATCACCGTCGAGTGCATGCCCAACCCCGGTGCGCCCATTCTCCTCCTAGACGACGAGACCAACGACTGCACCTTTGAGTTTACCATCCAGGGTCACACCGGTGCTTGTCCCGAGCAGCCGATCGCGCCGCCGGTGCCGTCACCGCCGCCGCCGTCGCCGCCACCGTCTCCCGGCCCAACCCCTGGCCCGACCCCGCGCCCGACCCCGCGCCCGACTCCGCGCCCGACTCGGCGCCCGACCCCGCGCCGACTCCTCGCCGACCCGCGCCCGACCCGCGTCCGACGCATGCACGACTCTTGCACGACTCCGGCTGCACCATCAACAACAGA